AGTTCTGCCAAGTGTGGATCGAAATACAAGTAAGGCATTTCCTATAATAAACCTGGCCTCTGAACAGGAAGAATATTCATATGTTATGTTTCTCTTATTTTTACATTTCAATTTCCTTCTGGTACCCTAAAGTCTTTAGTACTGTCTGTTAGGTCACCCTTAACAAAAAAAAAGAGGCTGCTAGACTGGTATGAAGTAAATAATATAAGAATGGCAGCTTTATAATTATGTTCTGAGAACTAGGATAGATGACAGAGAAGCCCAGAGGAATAGCACTGAACTAGATGTGTAAAAGTGGCCAGCAGGAGAGTGATGAAAAAGCATGCCATCAATGAAGTGGAAATATTTAGAATATCAGTAGACTATAAGAAATGGCAAAGACCAGATTGTGTTATACCACTTACAGATACAGCTGTACAAAGTGGTCAAACATTCTGATACCAAGCAAAATTTAAAGATCATGCAGTTCTGTAATCTTTTTATATTTCTGTATAACAAAAAGCTATAAGTATTGTTGCTTAAAACTATACCCATTTATTATCTCAAAGTTGCATAGGTCCATGAAGACTCAGCTGGGTTCTTAGCTCAGGGTCTCTTAAGATGAAAATCAAGGTACCCACTGAACTAGGCTGTTTTTCAGAGGCAAAGTTTTATTTATGAAATGCATGAAATTTGCAAATCTTAAATAAAAGGTTTCTGGGGTAAAAAAAATACTGTCTGGGATGCCCACATTCCATACTGTAATGCCTAGTTTGAATCACACCCCTCTGTCTCCTATCCAGCTTCCTGAAAATACATACGCTGGGAGGCAGCAGACAATGACTCAAGTACTTCTGTGCCTGCCACCCATATGGGAGACCTGAATTGAGTTCCAGGATCCTGTCTTCAGCCTGGCCCAGTCCTGGCTGTTACAGACATTTGGAAAGTCAACCAACAGATGGGAGAGTTTTCTATGTTTCTCTCTTTCTTCCTTTAAAATTAATTTTTTCTTTTCACTTTATTTGAAAGTGGTTTTTTCTCTTCAAAGATTAAAAATATGTATAGCAAAGCTTAGAAATCAAGAAAACTGTCAAAAACTTATCAAGTAAAGGACATATAACCAGGGTGTATACCTCACAACTCAATAATAAAAAAGGAAAAAATAAAAACAACAGGCAATTTTTTGAATCATCACAAAAATATTTTATTGACTTAAGAAACATGTGAAAGGGTACTGCATCATTAACAAAATGAATTAAAATCACAATGAGGTTTGACTATATACACATTGGGCTGTGTATATTTAATACTTTATTATTACTAAAATCATAAAATATATTAAATATACATTGTAATATATAATATATAATGATGCTATGTGTTTTTAATAATAATCATACCAAATATAGGCAAATATAGGAAAGGATATGGAGCAGCTAGAATTTTCATTCACTGAGTAGAAGGGTAAAATTGCACTACAAGATTTTGAAAAATAATTTGCCATTATCTTTTTATATAACCTTGTCATTCCACCCTGAGATACTCATTAAAAAATAAACGAAAGCACAAGTTCCAAGATATACATTTATTTGTAATAAGACAAAACTGGAAACAATCTAAATGCCCATTTACCAATCAATGGATAAACCATAGTACATCCACACAACAGAATACTATTTAGCAGCAAAAAGTAGTAAACCACAGTTAAGTACATAACATGGTTAAATTTCAAAACAATTTTATTAAGTAAAAGAAAGCAAATGTAAAGATTACACACTATGTGATTTCATTTACATGCAGTTATAGGAAACACAAATCTATACTGGTAGAAAAGAGATTTGGAGTAGCCACTGACAGGTGGATGGGAGAGATTACAAAGAAAATGAAGTAACTTGACAGTGAAATATATTTAATTATGTATGCTACGGTGATGCCATCACTGGTATATGCAAATGTCCAAACGTATTAAATTTTACAGATTATATATGAAAAATTCAAAAAGCTCATGAAAACCGAATGAAAATAAATTTTTGTTAGTCTAAAAAAATCTGAAATCCATGCATATTAGTGATTTTCAGAAAGTTCACTGAAGGATAGGCCTTTGGCACAGCAATTCAGACACTCCTTGGGATAACCCTGTCCCATATCACAGTCAGTGCCCAAGTTTGAGTCTCAGCTCATCTCCCAATTCCTGATTCTTCTTGCTAATGTGTACCTTCAGAGTCAGTAAGTGATAGATCAAGCAGCTGGGTCCATGACACTGACATGGGAAATGTAGTTTGAGTTCTGCGCACCAGTCTGGTCCACCTCTAGCTGTTGTGGTATTTGGGGAGTCAATCAGAAGATAGAAAATTTCTCTATGTCTGTTTATTCTAATTTATGTCCTTTATTTTTAAGATTAATCAAATATTTTTATCAGGAAGAAGTATAGCAGCTAATATATTGTAATATATATTTTAAATAACACAGGTAATTGAATTTATATACTTAAAATAAGTATTCAACATAAACAGTATATTCATTATATTCCTACATTTTGTGTGGCCAAAGAAGTGCTTCTGCAGTACAAAGGAAAGATTTACAAAGGTAAAATAGGCCGGCGCCGCGGCTCACTAGGCTAATCCTCCACCTTGCGGCGCCGGCACACCGGGTTCTAGTCCTGGTCGGGGCGCCGGATTCTGTCCCGGTTGCCCCTCTTCCAGGCCAGCTCTCTGCTGTGGCCAGGGAGTGCAGTGGAGGATGGCCCAAGTGCTTGGGCCCTGCACCCCATGGGAGATCACGAAAAGTACCTGGCTCCTGCCATCGGATCAGCGCGGTGCGCCGGCCGCAGCACGCCAGCCGCGGTGGCCATTGGAGGGTGAACCAATGGCAAAGGAAGACCTTTCTTTCTCTCTCTCTCTCTCACTGTCCACTCTGCCTGTCCCTGTCCAAAAAAAAAAAAAAAAAAACCAAAACCATAAAGGTAAAATATAGTTCTCTTATAAATTGCTGGGTATTTAATTTTAACTTTTATATGAAATACTGTGAGATAGAGGCTATAGGGTAGATTCTTTTTAATTTTAATTTAAGGTAAACAAATTGCAGGTATTTCATATATACAGATTTAGGAATATAGTGATACTTCGAACCATACCTTCTCTCCCTCCCACCCACGCTCCCACCCTCCTTCCTCCTCCCTCTCCCATTTCCACTCTTAATTTTTACAAAGATCTATTTTCAGTTTATTTTATGCTTGTAAGATTAACCCTACACTAAGGAAAGAGTTCAACAAATACTATGCAGAAAACATTCTTCCTCAAAAGTAGAGACAAAGGCTATAAACAATCATTGAATCACAAAATGTCCATTTCACTCTACTACATTATATTTTCAGTACTCTAGTAGTTACCACAGAGCAGGGAAAACATAAGCTATTTCTCTTTTGGGACTGCCTTATTTCACTAAGTATAATGGCTTCTAGTCGCACCCATTTTGTTGTAAAAAACAGGATTTCATTTTTTTCAAACACTGAGAGTATTCCATAGTGTACATATACTATAATTTCTTTTTTTAAAAAAAATTATTAATTTATTTGAAAGTCAGAGTTACAGATAGAGAGAAGGAGAGGCAGAGAGAGAGGTCTTCCATCCCCTGGTCCACTCTGCAATTGGCTGCAATGGCCAGAGCTGTGCTAATCCGAAGCTAGGAGCCAGGAGCTTCTTCCAGATCTCCCATTTGAGTGCAGAGGCCCAAGGACTTGGGCCATCTTCCACTGCTTTTCCAGGCCATAGCAGAGAACTGGATCGAAAGTGGAGCAGCCAGGACTTGAACTGGAGCCTATATGGGATGCCAGCACTGGCAGACGGCGGCAGCTTTACCCGCTAAACCATAGCACCAGTCCCCCATAATTTCTTACTTTCTTTTTTTTTTTTTTGGACAGGCGGAGTTAGACAGAGAGAGAGAGAGACAGAGAGAAAGGTCTTCCTTCCGTTGGTTCACCCCCCAAATGGCCGCTACGGCTGGCACTGTGCTGATCTGAAGCCAGGAACCAGGTGCTTCCTCCTGGTCTCCCATGCAGGTGCAGGGTCCCAAGCACTTGGGCCATCCTCCACTGCCTTCCCGGGCCACAGCAGAGAGCTGGACTGGAAGAGGAGCAACCGGGACAGGACCGGTGCCCCAACTGGGACTAGAACCCAGAGTGCTGGCACTGCAGGCAGAGGATTAGCCTAGTGAGCCACTGCACCAGCCCTATAATTTCTTTATTCAGTCATTAGTTGATGGACATTTGGGCTGACTGCATACCTTACCATTTGAATTTCCTCTTTTGAAAAATGCTTGTTCAAGTCCCATAGAATATATTCCACTATATATAATTTTTTCTCTGCCTTCAGGGAATTTACAGCTTAATCGAGGAAAGAGATTTAAATATTAAAACAAATCAGTGATAGAATAACAGACAAAAAGTACTAATGTAATCAACTTCTGAGTTTGACATGGTTTCCAGATGATGATGATGATGAGGCAGAATTTTTATCACACTCTATCATAGTTGCCTGTTAATTTATGTGTCAGATTAGCCACTATACTGTAATTCCCTTGGATGCAAGGATCCTGTCTTGTTATAAGCTGGGTATTACATCTTTAATGCCTGCATATAGCATGCACACAATTAATAGCTGATAAATCATGTATGAACAACAGAATAATCTTAAAGGATTTAGGCATGTACCATTTCATTACACAAGAAAATCCAATTTTTGTCAGAGCCAGTAGTGTTAAACCAAAGCACAACACTGGAAAAGCTTGAGTTCTCTGGCAAGAATGGCAGGCCAAAGTACCTGCAGGGTAAAATACATGCAGAACAGTCAAATGAGAGAAAACTGGAATGGTTAGTATAACCCCAACTGAGACAGCAGGTAATCACACCCATTAGGAGACTGAAAATGTGGCACATGTGAATGAACTGAAGAAGATCTCAGCCAAGGTATGGACAATGGAAAAGGAAACTAGATATTACCCAACATCTATTAAAAGGAAAGGACCTGGCCCACTTTAGCAACACATATACTAAAATTGGAATGATACAGAGAAGATTAGCATGGTCCTTGCACAATGGTCACATTCAAATTCTCAAATATCTATTTTAAAAAAGAAAAAGATGGAAAATCTGACTTGACTGACTTGAGAGGAAACAAAGTGGGAGAAGTCAGGGATGACCATTTAAGTTTGGACAACAGGAAATACAGTGTTGCCTTCCCAGCATAGAATAAAGCATCAATTTCAATAGGAAAGTGTTGTAATGTCAAATTTTAATCTCAGGTTTTTGCAGATCACATAGGGAACTATAAGGAGACAGTACAAGATTCTAGGATAGGTCAGTAGAAAGATCAGAAGTAGATCTATTTGCTCACAGAATACATGAAACATAATGTCTGAACTAAACTCAAAAGAGTAGTCTGAACTGTAATGAAAATCTGTAATATTGAGGGAGAACTGATAAGAAGAAAAGATTAATGAGCAAAGAAGAAACAAACTTGGGATGCTGCAGCACTAAACAGACTAAAATGCTGTCAGGCGGCAAAAGTAGCCAGCACTGGAAGGTTAAGGAGAAGGAAAGCACAAGCAAACCCTATCAAATTTCACCACCATGAAAGACATTGACTGGGGCCTGCTTTGTGGCAAAGATGGAGTTCTGGGCTCCTGGATTTGCTGTGTCTCAGTCCTGGCCATTATAACCATTATAACCATTCTGCTGAACCAGCAGAAAAGATTTCTTTCTTCCTTTCTTTTCTTTCTTTTCTTTCTTTCTCACTCTCTCTAACTCTGCTTTTAAAATAAATAAATAAATAAATAAATAAGTAAATCTTAAGAAAAAAGACTGATTACTCAGAATATAATTCAGCCATGAAAATACACTAAAAATAGAACTCAAAACTAAAATAACCTGGCAGATTGAATAAACCTGATTTAAAGTATAACCCCAGCAACTCTCCAAAACTACACTTACCAAAATGATAGCCACAGCCACATACGGCTATTTAAAGTTAAATTAATGAAAAATTCAGTTCCTCATTCACACCAACTACATTCCAACTGCACAAGAGTCACAGGTGGCTAGTGAGTATCATTTTGGACAACGCAGATTTAGTTTATATCCCTGACCTCAGTAAGTTCTAACAGGCAGTGTTGCTCCAGATCAATGCCCTTTGAAGGTATATAAATTGGGCATTTTTCTTAAATGTGGTTCTACAATGGGATTATCATCATTTGTATGCCTTCTTCTGCTCTGTAAACAAAGTATACCCATGCATACATACTCAGACAACATTTTAGCATGAAATTCTTAAATCAAAACCAGAATCCAACTTGTACAGAACCATAATATTTATTACAAATCCCTAGGAACATTACATACAGGCACAGGTCTTCATTTCTCACTATTTTTCTTAACACATCAAGCATTTTCAATAAGCATATTTCACAGATGGATATCACAAATGGGTAAACTGAGGCCTAATGTGAGATGCAGTTTTTGGAAAGAGTTATAAGGAATGTCAGTTTTTCCAGAGTGTTTCCCTCCCCAGGATTGTCTTCTCAACAGGTAGAACTCACTCCACTCCCTCCCATGTACTTCTAGAGATAGCATTTCCTTTGATCTTTCTGACAGGTGTCAAAAACATGTCCCACAAGCCATGTCAAATGCTGGCTGAGAAATCACCCATGGACCTGACACTTCCTTCTAACTATATGCTTTGTAATTGGATTATTTCATCTGACACAATTATCCACCACTATTATGGCATATAAGTACACTTGAAACATTCAGTCCTATATTGTTTTTCTACCAAAGAACCAAAAAAAAAAACAAAAAACCTACAAGAAAGTTGTCCAGCGCTGGGCCTGGAACACATATGAGAAGCAAGAACCCAACTATCTGAGCCATCACATGGTGCCTCCTAGGGCACACAGTAGCAGGAAGCTATAATTAGGAGCAGATCCAGGACTCACTCCAATACAAGATGCAGGCATTCCAAGAGGTCAAACATTTGGTGGTAAACCAGTGTCCAATACCTGTCCCTCATTGCTGATGTTTATTTGCCTACATTTAAGAAGGTCTCATCCACAGATAGATCCAAAGTGGACTCTGACAATTCAAAAATAGACTTGAATAATAGGATGTGCATTTTGAATGCATAGGAAGGATGATAAACATGGCAAAATAAATAAGAATAATCTCACTTTCCCAATTTCCCAAGTTAAAGACCAGATATTTCTAGCATATGATCGCCAATTTCTGGCATTTTTACAACTTGAGAAGACAAAATTTACAACTGATCTGTGTCTACTGTGTTGGTATCAGTTTAAAAAAAATATATATGTACAGCTGACAAAGTAAACTAGCTGTACAACTCAATGAAATTATTTGATTGATCAAGATTGTTCCTACCAAGCCTGTATAATGGATAAAATTCTAAAATTCTTAAGTACTTCTGAAATTCTTCCTTCTTTCTCTCAAGAAACTCAGCATCTTCAAATCAGTCTTTGTTTTGCTCAAAGGGTTTAGCAAATTGGTTTTCTTCATCACTAATTCTCATTTCCTGCCATTCCTATTTTAGGTCAAAACTCAAACATTCCACATTAAAATCTTACTTGGTCATCTTCTACACCACCAACTATTACTAACTCACTGTCAAATTACCTTACTAAATATTTATCATAGCATTTACCACTAGGGGATCTTAATTTTTAATGGTTTTTTAATACATATGTAAAATATATGCTGTCTGTAAATCAAATCTGACTTTTCTTAAAACAAGGTTTTACCTATTTTGCTTATCACAGTGTCTGGTAAATCACAGATAATCAAATAGCTTTTAATAAAATCCAATCAAGCCACTAGACATAAATTCCAGTGCACTGCCAGCGCGGCGGCTCACTAGGCTAATCCTCCGCCTTTCGGCACCGGCACACCGGGTTCTAGTCCCAGTCGGGGCGCCGGATTCTGTCCCGGTTGCCCCTCTTCCAGGCCAGCTCTCTGCTGTTGCCAGGGAGTGCAGTGGAGGGTGGGCCAAGTGCTTGGGACCTGCAGCCCATGGGAGACCAGGAGAAGTAACTGGCTCCTGCCATCAGATCAGTGCGGTGCACTGGGCTGCAGCGCGCCAGCCACGGCGGCCATTGGAGGGTTAACCAATGGCAAAGGAAGACCTTTCTCTCTGTCTCTCTGTCTCTCTTACTGTCCACTCTGCTTCTGCCTGTCCCAGAACCACACAAAATAAAAAAAAAAATTCCAGTGCACAGTAAATTCAGAGAATAGAAGTGTGCATAACATGAAAACAAAAGGAAACCATGGGCAAATCAAGAACGTGGGTGATCATATAAATGATGTGAAATCTTCAAAAAGTCAACATCATGGAAAGACAGCAGCAGAGAGTTATTTCTATTTATTTATTCTTACTTACCTATTTATTCTATTTATTTTAAAAGAAACCAACAAGTATAAATTCAAAGTGATTTCCATGAATCCTTGAATAAATCCTCATATCAAGCCAAGACTATAAAAATTCTTGGGAAAAATGAAGATTTTTTTTTCAATTAGAGTTTAGATATTTAATAATTTCTGGAATTACTGTTATTTTCACTGAGATTAAAATGGCCTTCTGGTAATTTAGGCAAATGCCTTCATTCTGAAGCTACTGATACTGAATTATTAAGGCATAAAAGATTTAGTATCTGCAACATAAATTTTCAAATAGAATAGCAAAACTATGTGTGTGTGCATATTTCATTTCCTTTCATTTTTACAGACTGTTCACTAGAATATAATTTGTAAGTTTCAGGGTCAGAGAGTACACAGAACTTATTAAAAATCTGTTACATAATAAATATTTGTTGAGGGGCCAGCACTGGGGTACAGTAGGTTAAGCCACCCTCTGCTGTGCCAGCATCCCATAAAGGTGCCAGTTCCTATCCTGGCTGCCCACTTTCAATCCACTTCCCTGCTAATGCACCTGGGAAATATGGCCCAAGACCTTGGGCAACTGTCACCCACAAGGGAGACTTGGAGTGAACCAGTGGATCTCTCCTACTCTCTCTATAATTGTCTTTCAAATAAATAAATAAATCTTTTAAAAAATTAGCATTGTTTTTAAAATAATTTTTGGATGAATTAATGAACTGAATTCCTATAGAATGCTGCATCTCCAACATTAATATAAAATAGAATCACCTGGAGCATTTCCAAAAAAGAAAAAGAGGACAAGAACAGACTTCAAGAGTCCATGTTCAACATTTTTCAAGTATGGCCCAAGAATATGTATTTCTAACAAGCTGCTATGTGATACTAATGCTACAGCCAGGGGAGTCACATTCTGAGAACCACTGCTATTAAAAATAGTTTTTTTTTTTAATTTTTCCCTTGGCTCAGATAGATGCTGCTTCAGTAAAGAACAAAGTATTAATGTAATCCTTTCCTATAAGATACATGATAGGCTTTATTGTTTAATTCCCAAATAATCATCTTCTTATGATATTACTGAGATTTAATGTTGAGTTTATATTACTCAAAACTCAGATACTTTTTACTAACCAGGCAAACTCTTTCCTGTAGATTAGTTTCCCTCCTCAAAGTTTGTCTTCAGAGAGGAAGCTGAAAGATCACTTGAGCAGCTCAGCATACGACTTCCCAGTTCTCATTCGTATATTTGGAAGAAGGCTGGGAAAACATTCACTATCTCTGCTCAGCACAATAGCTTCCTGAAGCATGTCTGCCTCCAGAGAAATCAGGTGCCTCATGCACAGCAGAAATTTATGTTAAAGAAACTCTGTTTATGAGAGGCAAATGTGGTACCCAAATTTATCTCCCAGTGACAACTTCAGAATCCGAAAATTTTCAACCTCTCCTCTCGTGAGTTGCTTGAAATTGCTGTTTTTCAAGTCAAGAACACCTGTTTAGTGTTTTTCTCCTCACCCTCCCCGGTAAATAGAGCCACCAGGAAAACAGGATCTGAAGGTTTTAATGAATAAGAAACACAAAGTATTGACAGATTTCAGAACATTATGCCACCCTTACCCTGTTTCCCTAATGAGGTAAGATCAAAAATGAAGAAAACAGTTGTGATATTGGGCTCTGGAGTTTGTTTTTAAACT